AAATAAATAAATAAATAAATAAAGCATGCCAGTCAGTGTTCATATGCAAAGGTCTCTACTGTCTTTATTACCTAGCTATAAATGATAATTACAGAAGAAAGCAACACAGAGGTTTACATTTCATGCATTCCTCAGGTCACTGTTTAGCCTTGGGAGCCTCATTCCTCTTCTTCTACCTTCTTATGAATCTCCCGGCTCTTCGCACGGAGCTTGTTGACCTGTGACTCTGCAATRTCAGCCCGCTCCTCGGCTTCCTCCAGCTCGTGCTGGATCTTGCGGAACTTGGAGAGGTTGACATTGGACAGCTCCTCCTGTGTGGGGARAGGGAGTTGKGAAAACAGCAKWCAGTGTGTGGCCATTTATTTTTTGAAAACAGGGTAAACAAAAATTCGAATGTCACAACTGAGCTAGCATAGCAGATTCAAAACCAAGATGAGAAGCTGTTCAGGGTGTCAAGTGTGTCAGAAGAGAAAAGAATATTGGAATGTCAAACAGACATGATACACAGCCCAGTTTAGGCAGAGTTCATGTTATAATTGTGAATATGCAGATTGACAGCTGCTTCTGACATCTAGGGTAAGGTAWAAAGGAAGAAACAGACTGGGAAATGAGGCTTACAGCAAAACAAATAGGGTTGGGAAWGTATATTTCCTCCCAAGCTGATCAAGTCTTACTCTCACATTCCCCATTGTATCAAAGCATCATCACATCATATCAAAACATCATCACATTGCATCAAAACAGTCAAGGTTTCAAAAAGTCATACAGAGGAAAACAGATACAGAATTCAACCTCCACCAGAAGAAAGTTTGGTTTGGATGAAGTGGTACTTACAGCTTCCTCAGCTTGTCTCTTGTAGGATTTCACTTTCATTTGCAGCTTGTCCACCAGATCCTGAAGCCTGAGGACATTCTTCCTGTCTTCCTCAGACTAAATTGGGTGATAAACAGAGGGTCAGTTCTTGGTTCTGCATCAGGCAAGGTTAACAATTCCCCTTGCGGATTGTGTATGCAAAATGTGACTTGCTGTGAGAAAACTCTGTGAGGCCAGGAGACGTCCTGCCTTACCTGGTAGGTCAGTTCCTTCACCCTCCGCTCGTACTTGCGCACACCCTTCACGGCTTCAGCGCTGCGCTTCTGCTCAGCATCAACCTCCCCTTCCAGCTCCCGCACCTGCAAGGAGAA